GAAAGGATGCTAAGTTTGTGAACAGGCTTAGATCTGCTTTTAGTACAAAGTATTGCATTTTGCTCAATTCATCTTGTTGTCATAGAACTAATGTAGAAATGTTACAGTGTATTAAAGATGTTTTCTATTCAGAAGCTTCTCTCGAAGAAGTGATCTAAAATCCTATTGTTTAGTGGATCATCCGCTGAGTATGGCTTTGAACTGATACAAATCAGAAACCACATGCAATTGATTTTTTTTTTTTTTTTTGGAGAACTCTTGGGCTGTTGTTGCTAATATTGTTAAGGTGCAGGTGTTAGGCTTTCTGCAAAGCAAGTCTGGTGCCTTACGAAGACAATTTCTTCATCTTGGCTGTACTGTACACATATCATTTTATCCAGCAGCGGGGAGCTACATTTTCCCAGAGGAATACTGACTAAAGCCTGAATCTGTCTAAAGACTTTTGGGATAGCAGATGGCAGACAGGAACTGCAGGGTACCAAGGAGACAGTAACATGTATGCTGGTAAAGTGAGACTACAAAACATGCACAAATAAGTAAAACATTTTTTTTTTAAATTACTAACATTATATTCAATTTATTTGTACACGGCAGCCTGTGCTGTTTGCATTCTGATGATTTATGACCAGCTGAAATACCTCTTAGAGTTACCGGTTCAAATCCCAATAAGGCTAACTCCTTCCAAGGCCCATTAAATGCATGCTATCAAGTTGGGTAATAGTAACCTCTCAAAATAATGATGTACTTGGAAACTAGAATAACCTCAAGCAAACCTTTCCTGGTTAAATGCTTTGAAATGATTAGAAATTGTTTGATCATATTTTTCTTTTTGGATCTTTAACTGGAAAATGAAAGCAATGTTCTGTCCCCTAAATCCCTTCAACTTGCTGAAGTGCTGTATGGCTTCATGGCATGCTCCATCTGCATTATTGTACAAAATGACAATTTAAAGAGAAATGGGCACTTTTTTTTTATAAATCCCCGTAGTAGCATCTCTCGGCTACCAAGCAGAGGTTCACCTGCCTCATTCACTTTCAATTGTAGTTCAAAGTGGAAATTAGTGTTTCTCAAAAATAAATATTAATTTCACTACTTCTCTATGATATTCACTGTTAGTGAATCCCAGCAATTATCCAACATGGGCCCTAATGTTTCTTGTGAGAACCAGCTGATTGGCCACAAGTGAGGACTTCACATGAGCGTTAATGAGGAGACTCCTGGTTCTGGATTAAAAGTAAGTTTAATAGATTTGAAACCCATTAAATGCTGAAGAAGAACCTCTCTAATTCAAAAAATGTAATTAATAAATAACAAGCTAATGACTTCACAAACTTTAAATGCCTCAGCGAAATCTCTGGGTCACAATTACACTTGCAGCTCAGTTTCGTTCAAAGACCTTCAAAACAATTCATAATGTAGACACAGTAATGTCTATTTAGAGGAGATATTGTTTTTTGGACAGGGGTTACAAGAGGAGGGTCCTCAATAGAGCTCCTGGAAAAGATTTGCCAACAATCTAATAACACACATTAGACAATTTGACAGGACAATTTTTTGTCCAGATTTTTCATATAAATTGCTGTGACATTAAAAAGTTGCTACAGGCTATTTTGGACAGGTTATGTGACGTGTAGTCAGGTGACCAAGGAAAAATATTCCATCATCTTCACAGTGGGAAACTCATGAAACCCTCCAGATGATAACATGCCCATCTACCTTTATGATGTATAAAATTATGTGCTTTTGTGGTCTTGCTCACATTGTGGTCCTGCCTTTGCTGGCAAGACCTTTAATTACCTTCACAATCAGTACAGCTGTTTGTGGAGGGAAAACAGATAAACTACTAGCCTGTCATTTTTTGGAAGTAGGTCACCAATTATCATCCTCAAGGTTCATGGGTAATACGTGGAGATGCCACACCAAAGTGGTGACCGAGCTTTAAAATTATTGCGATGTGGGGTCTATAGGATCTTTACGCTTTATACATTAGAGGTTACATATAAAATGGGTCTGTTCTGAAAAGTAGTGCAAAGATGTAAAAGAGGAGGAGTCCCTAATGGAGTGAACCTCCTTTTTCACTGGTTTCCATGGTAATTGCCCCAATTTTAGTTCTTTAGACCACTTTTAATATGTAATCCTTATTGACTCCTCATGGATTGACTTAGAAGAATCCTTTTTATCACTACCTAACTGAGTTGCAAACTCGCATCTTAATGATTATACACCCATTCCTCTATTTAAGCAGAAATAGAGGGACACAATTGTACTAATTTAAAAGCAAGGCCTAAAAGTGAAAGAACGGCTTTAAGTGATCTGGATAGTGCTGAAGGACCCCATAAAAAATTGTTATCAGGGACTCTGGATATGATCACATGTTTTGGAGATCAATCCCCTGACAACTAATTAGATATTAGAATAATATGCAGAGAATTGACTTCTTTTTAGCCCTTTCTGTAGTGTTTAATTAAGATACAAGTGATTTTGTAACAGTATTTTCTGGGCGAAGTGCCAAAATATTATGTAGTTACATATACGTCATTGATACAATTGTTACATTTAGTGCTACTGTGTAGCTCTCTATAATTATTTCTTGGCTCACTAAAATGTGTTATTTGTGATTCAATTGTTTATTTTTCCAGTTTCGTGTTAAGGTGTTTTTTTAAATTTCTTTTTGAATTACATTTTAATGTTTTGGTATCGGGTTGTTATGTCTTTGTATTTCAAAACATGATTATAATCTTACTCCACAGGTGATGTACCCCACACCTTGATCTCTCATTTTCCTGTGCAGGTCTATCCACATGAAGTTACACTCAATAGGCCTCAGTAATAACCCTCTGTTTGCTCTATTTAATATTTTTACTCACTTGTGTGCACTGTTTTGGTCTGAGGATTGATATATTGACTATTGTGAGTGTTATGATACATAAAAAATCAAGTGCGTAATTTTACAAGGCCGTTTCAACATTTTTAGGTTTGATGGCTTATTTCTGATCACTGTTCATTCTGGATCATAGGTCATGCTTTGGTTTTAAAAATGTAAAGCTGAGTTTGAAATAGTATTAAGCAATTGCAGAACAGCAAGGTGAAGTCTAAAACACTGTGGCTGTCTGGGCTTATTTGCATGCCGAGCTTGAAATCCAGAGAGAGTTGTGGAAACAGGATTTTCTGAGATTCTAAAATCCAATTTGAGATTAGACTTTGAGATCCATTTTGGGCCAAACTGCAGTTTTGACCAAATTTGGGCCAATCATGTGATCGGCAGAAATTCTGATTTCCCAGCCCCTCACAGCAGAATGTCAGAAAATGACGTGCTCAAGCCCGGATATGTTCAATTGCAGCAGAATAAAAGGGGGATGGAAAACTGAACAGGCTGTTTTGTTTAAAAAATTTTTGGAACAATCCTGTTTCAACTATTTCACCTTTTGTGCCCTAAATGTAATTTTTAAATGTGTACCATTTTAGGTTGATGTATCAATCCTTCCACCGTTTTTCAGAGAAATGTTACATTTCAGTAGTGTTCAATCAGGAGATTTTCTAAAATGGATATTTACCAACACTTTTTAGATTGTCAGAACACTTTAATAAATCTGATCAGTATAATGACGAAAGTTAACTGTCACTTTTCAGAACACATTGATAAATCTCCCCATTAAGTCAATTTAAAAAAATCCTGAAATGAATGTGTTCCAGAATTTAGTATTATCCTCATTGGCTTATACTTTTTATATGTTTATTACATATTGTTGGCAGTAAATACACTTTAATTAGCAAACGGAATTCTATGATTTAAGCTAAATACATTAATTTGGGCACCTATTCTAAAAATTTTTGATAGCAAAGTATAAATCCTATTTCTCTGCCTAATTATGTTACTCTTTGATTCTAACATTCAAATCCATTAACTGTCACATAAGATATGGTTTTTAACTGTTCAAAAGCCCAAATCTGGCAAGGTTTGTATTTGCTCTGATACATTATTAATGCAGATGTATCCATAGCTAGCTGAAAGCAAGATGGTATTGATTGAGCACTGTGGCTCTACTGAATTATAAATGTGTATGTGTATGTGATGGCACTGTTCCAATCTAAAGTTAAGTGGTCAAGTAGACTTGAGACACATGCAGCAGATTCCCGATAAGTGCACTGAAATTATTGCGGGATTGTTAAAACAAATATTAATTCAAATTTTACAAATTAGAAAAAAAATATTGGATGTTTACAAAGGAAGAGAACAATAGAATTGAATGAAAACACTAAAGCTATTAAACAATAGGAATAAAGTGGTCCCCATTGAGTACGGGTTCAACAGGACAGACGTTTGGATGCTTTCCAGCCAGAAGAAAGATAGCTAGCTGTTAATTAGCTCTGATTTTAGTCAGAGCTACTAAATTAATTTATAAAACATGTGCCTACCTGGATACCTTAGAGAGCCGTTTTTCTTGAAACTTTAATATTATTATAAACTGGTGATCCTGGAGAGAAAAAGGGCAGATTCAACTGTAAAGGTAGACAGCGCCTGTTCAAATTAGACATGACTACTGACAAAGAATAAATCCAGAGTTAAAGTGGGCTTAGCTATCCTAGGTTGGACAAAGCTTAAAGCAGGTTTTGTTTTTAAATGAATCCTATTTTGTCATATTATTTCTCCTTGCTTACATTTTTTTTATATTCACCTTAGTTTTTTCGTTATACATAAGAAAAAGTAGGGACGTTATCTTTGACAATTTTTATAATGGACGAAGCTTAACTAAAGTTTCCTTTCAGTTTCTGAGCAAATTCACCCACAATCCATCAGTCAAAAGAATCCCACAGATGGGCAAATTGCAGAGTTTACAGACAGGATAGAGCAACATGGAGGCCACCAGGTATTAAGATTCGGTGCAAGATCCAAAGGGGCTTAAGGAAAGGAAAAACTGAAAGAAATAAAAATATGGCAGAGCTGCTTTAACAACATTCTGTGACCGGGACCCCTGAGTGCCTGATGAGAAGTTGGGAGTCTTCAGCATGGAAGTAGATTATCAGGGCCTGGTGCAGGGTAACCGCACGCCCCCTGGTGTTGAGCACCAGCGTTTGTGCGGTCACATACCAAGACCCTGAATCAGCTTATGCAGATCACAAGAACTAGACGCTAGGAACAAAACAGACCTCCCAGGAACTGAATAGGGAGGCTCTGCAGCAGGAATGTATCAGAAAACAAGGCAAGACTAGGAGAGGCACCAAACATGAAAACAAGACAAAACTAGTAGAACCCAGAACCAGTGAAGGATAGGAAGCTAAACCCAGAACATGTACACAATACATAAGGGTACCATTGACATAACATGTGCAGGACAGGACAGGACTGTACATAGACTGGGAATACAAACTAAAACAAGACAAGATATGATAGGCAAAACAAGAGGAGAAATAACTAAGTACTATATATGAAAATCATGGGGATCTAGTCACATTATATGATCATACATTGCATAAGCCTGCCAACAACGCCAATGTACCCCATATCTGTCAGGTCTTACTCTGCCTAATGTATGCTAAAAGAACCATAAGAAACACATATAGCACTTAACTGCAAGAAAGGACAGAAGGCTTGAGCAACTGCCTGCAGGAACAAACTGAAACAAAAGGAATCATGGAAAAGGAACGGGTGTGGCAACATAAAACAAACGTTTAAAGGAATCCAGGAGACTGGGAATTCCAGGAACGGAATACAGGAATGAACCCAGAAACCCAGCATAAAGAAAACCAGACATGGGATAGAAAACCAGAAAAACCAAGAAAAACTAAACAAGAATTGTAAAAAGAGTACTGGATACCAGAAGCCATCACCAGACTGATCCACAGAACATGGCATGATGCGACACATTCCCACTGCCTGATATAAGGGCAAAAAAGTGAAAGATCTTATATGACCCCCGAGAAGGACGTGACGAAAAGAAAGCACGTTGGATATGACGTGATGCAATTAAAATGGCAGAAAAACATTGAATTAAGGCGCGAATGTCGGCTTGAAAAATGGGAACCATACACACTGAAGGATGTACCTGAACAAGACACACATTGAAAAACGTTGTGCAGCTGGGCTGATGGACTGATTTGTGGCACTTTATTTATTGTGATGCAAGGATTTTGGATGTTTTACTTTAACTTGATGCCTTCTGTTCTATTCCATTCCATCATGGGAGGATTTATCCATTGAGACTCCATTGCAAGGCAACTCCTATCACACCCATGCAGCCATACCTGAGCTAATGATACACAGGTTCAAGAAAATGTGAAGTATATGTGCCTATTGAGGAAATCAATAGTATTAACAGGACTCAGTGGAAATGGGGCTTAAGGATGTGAAAATGTCTTAATAGATTGTGGAATATAAATGTATCAGCTGATCGGATCAACACCTCCCATATGAATGGGTAGGGGAAACTGAGAATCGCTGAGAGATAATAGTAATGGTTCTGAAACACCAATGTGAGAGAACCAATACAAACTGAAATATAACAAAATAAGTCAGAAAATAAATAACTCATACCCCATAGGGGGTTAAAAATCCTTAATATAGTGTCAATTATATAGTGTAGCAGACAGCGTGCTTATTACAAAAGTTTTTATTGGCACATTAATACTGTCTGTACAATACACAAATATATAAAAGACTCATAAGTAAAATGAACAAAATGTCCCAAGTGAAAAAGCAAAAAGTACCAGGTATGTAGACTGTGGGTCCAATATTGTTCGTAACGCTCTCTCACCGGCCAGATAAAAGTGAGTGTGGACCTCCTCGTGCTGTATCTGTATATTTTGTATGTCTAGTGGAATTTTGTGTGATTTATTGAATTTTAGCAGAACTGCTGTTCACATTTACATTTTACAGCAACCCATTATATTGTACATTTTTGGGGTTTTATAAAGTGAAAGAGCCTAACTTCAACATACAGTACAGATCAGAAAATGTAAAACAGGACAAACAACTACTACCTTTTACTTGGATTCAATTTACACTTCTTTTTATAAATTACATTTTTATTAAGGTTTTCTGTTTTGTTGGATTCACATTGTTTCAGTTGTCCTTTATGGACCATGAATTGGTACCTGTAGCTGTAAGATAGTGTATAGATTGTGTACGCAGGCACTCATTTTCATCAATACCATGGCATATTGGTACTCACAGGTACCTTAATAGGAATAAACACAGTATTAATGAATACACAAATCCCTTCAGGGTAATATCTGTAGCAAACAAACATCCAAAATAACTGGTTCAAAAAGCCATAAACGGTGCCTAAGTCTGTGTACTGTGTGAACCTCTGAGTTTCAGGACAGTGTGGGCCAGGTATCCGAACCACGCTAGTTCCGAGTGGGAGTACCCCCCCGGGTCTCCCAGCTATCCTACCAACTTCCCGGCATGGGCGCTCCCCTCCGGCCGCGGTCCCGAGTCTGACTGAGGGTGGGCACGGGAGGGGTGGTGGGGGGATGATGACTGAGTCATTGCCACAGGGTGCGGAAGTATTCTGAGGCCACTGTAAGGATCCATTGAGTCCAGATTGCCATGTATGTCTGGGTCTTACCCTCAGCTAACATGGTGAGCTCCTCCATTGTGTGTAGCTCTTCCATGCGTTGGAACCAGGTGGCCATCGGGGGTGGCCTCTCTTGCCTCCAATAGAGGGGGGTCAGGCCTTTCGCTAAATTAAGCATTCTGATAGTGAATGATTTCTTGTAGATCAATGTGCGGAGTTTGGTGTGGTGAAGTTTGGTGTGGTGGAAACCACGACAGGGCACTGAAAAAAATGTAATTTGGGTTTAAATAACCCTCCTTAGGCTGTAATTGGCTGTCTCTGACCTATGACCCCAAAATGTGTTCCACGCCCGTTGGCGCCATCTTTGTGGGCGGAGGTAAGTCTCCTATTAAAACCGGAAAGATTGGAATATCAGAAATGTCCATTTTCTCTTATTACTCAACTAGAGTTTGCTGCAACATATATCTGCAAACATTTTATGAATTACGTTACAAAATATAACTTCTGTAATGCATGAATTCAGCTCAAGAGTATTCAAAAACATCTGATGTTTAACTAGAAAACATATTCAGGTAGATTTTTTTTTATAATGAAAGAATACTGCCGAATATCCAACACTCGAGAATGCGTGCTTCAATTTCTGAAGCTGATATATTTGTTCATTGAAATTGAAGGTATGATCAAAATTATTAAATTAACTGAAAGAAATAATAGCTGTGAAAACTGTCATGCATATGTATAAATGTACATTACAAAATAACTCCACCCCTTACCCTAGCCTCCAAATTTCAGAAAACAGCTTCCTGAATGAAAGGTACGCAGTATAGCTCAGCGACCAGGATGTCAATTTAATCTGAGCTGCTATGTGATTCTGCCTTGCAGCCAGTCCGTCTCCTCTTATTATCTGTATGGTGTTTCAAATCTGTGCCAATAGGAAAGGAGTAAGATAATAAGAGAACAGTGATTTGCTGGGGGATGATGCCATGTCAGCAGCTCAACTCACACTGATATCTTATTGGCTGAGCTGCATACATATACTACATGCTTTGAATAAGGAAGATATTTTGTGAAAAGGCAAAGCATGGCTTAGGGGGTGGGGTTATGCTGCAGAAAGCAGCATATTTTATTTAGCAAAACTAAAATATTTAAAAAGGGTAAAAAAAAAATACAGCATGCATATGCACTTAGCCTATCATATGTGCTTAACTTTAAAATTTAATTATGTTTTAATTACATGATTATGCAACAATGACAAAGTCACTGAAAGCTTCTGGAATTGCTCTGAAAAGAGTTATCTTGTGTAATATAATAGAGGAGACTTATAAATGTATTGCTAGCAGATAAGCATAGCAAATCCCAAAAGAAAAACAGTCTGTATGGAATATCCTGAGATATTCCATGCTGATATAGTATTCTGCACACCTTTTGGAATATCCTGAGATATCCCATGCTGATTGTACCCAATATAGTATTTTGCACACCTTTTTGGTATACCCTGAGATATCCCATGCTGATTGTACCCAATATAGTATTTTGCACACCTTTTGGAATACCCTGAGATATCCCATGCTGATTGTACCCAATATAGTATTCTGCACACCTTTTGGAATACCCTGAGATATCCCATGCTGATTGTACCCAGTATAGTATTTTGTACACCTTTTGGAATACCCTGAGATATCCCATGCTGATTGTACCCAATAAAGTATTTTGCACACCTTTTGGTATACCCTGAGATATCACATGCTGATTGTACCCGATATAGTATTTTGCACACCTTTTGGTATACCCTGAGATATAACATGCTTATTGTACCCGATATAGTATTTTGCACACCTTTTGGTATACCCTGAGATATCCCATGCTGATTGTACCCGATATAGTATTTTGCACACCTTTTGGTATACCCTGAGATATCCCATGCTGATTGTACCTGATATAGTATTTTGCACACCTTTTGGAATACCCTGAGATATCCCATGCTGATTGTACCCTATATAGTATTTTGCACACCTTTTGGTATACCCTGAGATATCCCATGCTGATTGTACCCGATATAGTATTTTGCACACCTTTTGGTATACCCTGAGATATCCCATGTTGATTGTACCTGATATAGTATTTTGCACACCTTTTGGAATACCCTGAGATATCCCATGCTGATTGTACCCGATATAGTATTTTGCACACCTTTTGGTATACCCTGAGATATCCCATGTTGATTGTACCTGATATAGTATTTTGCACACCTTTTGGAATACCCTGAGATATCCCATGCTGATTGTACCCAATATAGTATTTTGCACACCTTTTGGTATACCCTGAGATATCCCATGCTGATTGTACCTGATATAGTATTTTGCACACCTTTTGGTATACCCTGAGATAGCCCATGCTGATTGTATGCCCATTTTCCCCATTTTCTTGTAATTTGGTTCTCAGAATAAATAAGCAATAGAGGGTAAAAAGGAGGAACAGTAAAACAAATCTATACTTATATATTATATATTTAATAAATATATACAATATTTTTATAATGCTTCTCTTTTCCCCTCTTTTATTGGTTACTTCTTTTGTGAACCAAATTACAAGAAAATGTACTGCAAAATATATACAGAATAATGTATGTTATATATACATCATTTATATTATGCATATCTTGCGCAGTACACTGATATCATTTTCTCACCATTTTGTCTCGT